CTACATGGAGAGAAAACTCAAGTAAATGAAAACAGAAGAAAACTAAAGTCATTCATACACTCAGATTTTCAAAAGCACTTTTGAAGCGTTGCAGCAAAAGTTGCATTTCATTTTCTTCACCACTATAGAAAGCAATGGATTCAGCATTTTCTCGCACGCGCACAAGTCCATAACGAAAATCAGCCTCCTTTTTCTCTTGTAAGAAGTTTAAAGAAACCAAACCCTGAAAACACAAATACAGAGTTTCCATTAAATCGAGTTGGTATCCTGTATTATTGCCAACTATATCAACCGTATATAACATGGGAAATGGTTCTTTGTTAAACAGAGTTACAAATATTACCCTTCCAAGATAGACACTAATAGCTGTTCCACCAATCGAATACACAAGAAGGACAACAAACAGTGGAGGGTAGATACCAAATAAGATGTTACTGAATGATATGAGATCTATCACAGCATTGAAAAGTGTTAAGGAGAAGGATAGGGCAGTTCCCGTGAAAGAACTTAGATCATCAACAATGCGCTGATCAGGATTATCAATAATTGATTGGGATTGAATTCTGTAAAAGGTTTGGTTGCTTAGGTAGCGGTCCATGTAATATTTTGTCATCCAAGATCTCCACCTCAAAGAAAGAGTTTCTCTTGCATAATCTCGCAACACAAAAATCTGCACAACAGTTTTCAACATATGAAACAAATATGTCAGTAAACCAGGTCATTGTTTCAATGGAACTGCATAAGCAAACAAATCAACAATAATAGTACGAATACGAACCCAGTGGTTGTGGTTAAAATGCAAAGTGGAAAGTTATGGACAGAATACCCAAAACAAAAACAAAAAACTACAATGCATATAGTAGCTTGTATATATGTTTTTTTTTTCCACTGTGGGTTGCTGTGTAATTTACTGACAGAAGCTTATGATAACTACCTTTTTTATTTTACTCGGTGGGTTGTGCTAATTTCAGGCTTGTTTGTTTGTGGTGATTAAAGAAGGATGAAGAGTAAGGAAACAAAAAAGCAGAGGGATGGATACCTAAGTGAAAGTGCAGCAATTGGTGCTCACCGGAATTCCACCAGCAAAGGCACCCAAGTAGTAAAGTAGCTGCTTTGTGAATTGCTCTTGGTCCTTGTCTTTATATCATCATCACCATCCAATTTTCAAGCAAAAAAGAACAAAATTCAGTAAATAAACTTATTACCAGTACCTATAAGATTAACAAAATGAGCACAAAAGGGAAAGATGGTGGGGAGAGAGAGAGAGAGAGAGAGAGAGAGACTGGCAAGGGCGTTATAGAAGTCGCGGCCCAGGAAATTGAAGCCGACACTGATGCCAGTGGTGGCGAGAGTGAGAGCGAAGACTGCGCCCAGCTGCATCCTCGCTTGTTCCTTGTCGTCCGATGACCAGTAGGGAGCTGCCACTTTCCAGAATCTTCGGATCAGCGTCTGTAATTCAGGCACCTCTCTCTGGTGTAAAGTGAACCACTTGGAAGTGAGGAATAAGAAGAATCAAAGCGAAGAGAGCAAGCAGAGACAGAGAAACAAAGAAGCAACGGACCTTATCTGCAGTTGGGGGAGCTGGTGGTGGTGGTGGTGAGGCCGAGGCAGCTGCACAACGCCATAAAGATCTCGAAGAAGAAGAAGAAGGTGATACGACGTCGTCGCTCCTCTTTCTCCTCCTCCTCCTCCTCCACTGGCTGCTGCTGCTTCTAGTGGACATGGTGGCCACTGATGGAAATCTGGACAAGAAGGGGAGACTAGCATGTGCTTTAACTCCAACTCTAAAATGCTGGGAATGGCGATGGTTGAAGTTAAAGGCTGAGGAGCAGAGTGAGATACACTGTGATTGCGCCTGTATTATCATTTTTCCTTCTTTTTGCCTTCTCTTAAGTTCTAACTAACTATCTTTCTTCTTTTCCTTTATTTTCTGGTTGTCATTTTTTCCTGCCTATTTTCCTTCCATCCAAACAGTTTCTTTTCTCTTCTAAATAATAAGCAAGTCTAGTGAATTATCATCTCGGAAAGTTTTTATCCTACGAATGACCCCAATTATGCCACGCCAGCTACACACAAGGGTGAAGGTACGTCTAAATTCCTACTGAAACTCTACAGAAATTATCCTTCACAAACCCTAGCCACCATCTTCTTTCTCTCTCTCACACACAAGGCTCCGGCCTCAACACACGACTCCGGCCACCCGGTTTTCCTTGAAACACCCATCCTAACTTAGGCATCGGAGGGCCTTTGGCCAACACCCCCCGGGTGTGGGTTTTTTACTCCGATCTGTTTTGCAGGGAGAGAGAGGTGCGAAGAAGACGAAGGAATCTTTAGACGAATATTCCCGTGGGAGGAAATTTGCTCCCACAACGACCATCGCACATTGGATGAGATGAAAAGAAAACATCACAGATTTGAAGGTACCTATTTAGAGCTTTCATAAGAGCCAGCTTTTTTGTGGTCTGAAGTTGAGCCTAATGCTGTTATTGCAGGGATCAATTCAACTTGGAAGCCAAGGCAGATCGTTGGAGGGAAGATCGATCGGCAGTTGAGACAATGGTGAAGATGCAGTAGTCTGCAGAGGGAGGAGAATGAGGAAGTTTTGCAAGCCTTGTTTAAGATTCATTCATTGATTATTAAGTCACTGGAGGAGAGATACTTAATTAATTCATGCTCCCACAATTTCTTCATGACAAGACCGAGACTAGAGTGGGGGCTCAAAGGGGAATTGCAACTAATGAACATATTTGCAAATTTGCTGTAAACGCTTTCGATTGCATAAATATTTACTTCTTTTATTACTGAAGTCATATTTGCAAGTGGAAAGCTCCACAAGAAGGGGAGACTAGCATGTGCTTTAACTCCAACTCTAAAATGCTGGGAATGGCGATGGTTGAAGTTAAAGGCTGAGGAGCAGAGTGAGATACACTGTGATTGCGCCTGTATTATCATTTTTCCTTCTTTTTGCCTTCTCTTAAGTTCTAACTAACTATCTTTCTTCTTTTCCTTTATTTTCTGGTTGTCATTTTTTCCTGCCTATTTTCCTTCCATCCAAACAGTTTCTTTTCTCTTCTAAATAATAAGCAAGTCTAGTGAATTATCATCTCGGAAAGTTTTTATCCTACGAATGACCCCAATTATGCCACGCCACCCTCCCCTCCCAATTTCTTCTTTTTCTTTTCTTTTTATCCATTAAAAATCCACAATTCATTTTATAAATACTAAATTGGCTAAAAGTTTTCATCTTTCTCCTTCCCTCTTTAAAATGAAGGAACTTTTAATTATAGTACATAGCTGCAGACGAGTTAGTCAGGCAATCCACCTGTCACGTTGCACCCGAGTTCGAATTTCTTATCTTATAATTTAGGGTAATTTAGAATCTTGAATTTCTAAAAAAAAAAACAAAATGAGTGTATTCTTTTTATCAGTCCCCTTTTATTGAGGGATCTCTTAAATAATTATTTAAGGGACACCCTTTAGGTATCTTACGAATTTTTTTTTTCAACGATCCAAACAATCTATTTTTTAAGTCTATATTCATAGATCATCCTTGCAAAAAAAATTAGACAAATCGAAAACCAATTCGACATCCAATTGTGTCCTACAAAATCAATGAACACAGCGCTTTAAGAAAATACTAAAATTTCAAGAATCCAATTGAGTGGTCAAATGATATCGGATTCAAGTGATTTTTTGTAGAGATGATCTTTGAATGACTATCTAAAAAATAGATGGTTTGGATTAGTGGAATATAATGTAGAGTGGGGCCCCACAAGGGTGTCCCTCAATGAAAGCTCCCTATTCTTTTTATTATTGCATTAATTTGTTCCTTGAAAAACAAAAGGACACCAACAAACAACCCTTGAAAAACAAAAAGGACATTGACAACTGTGGGAACCGAATTAAATCACCCTAGGTCAAATAATTCCTTCCATTTGGGGATTATTTGACCTAATTGGGAGTTACTCAATTTAATTGGGAGTTACCCAATTAAATTGGCAATTACCTAATTAAAATGGGGATTGATTTGATTCCTACCCTAATTAGGGATTTGATTTAAATCAGATAAATCAAATCCCTAATTAATCAAATCTCACCTAATCGGGGAGGAATAATTCCTTTCCATCTACAGAATTATTCCTCTGAAACCCTAGCCTCCGAGGCTCCTATAAATACCTAGCTACACACAAGGGTGAAGGTACGTCTAAATTCCTACTGAAACTCTACAGAAATTATCCTTCACAAACCCTAGCCACCATCTTCTTTCTCTCTCTCACACACAAGGCTCCGGCCTCAACACACGACTCCGGCCACCCGGTTTTCCTTGAAACACCCATCCTAACTTAGGCATCGGAGGGCCTTTGGCCAACACCCCCCGGGTGTGGGTTTTTTACTCCGATCTGTTTTGCAGGGAGAGAGAGGTGCGAAGAAGACGAAGGAATCTTTAGACGAATATTCCCGTGGGAGGAAATTTGCTCCCACAACGACCATCGCACATTGGATGAGATGAAAAGAAAACATCACAGATTTGAAGGTACCTATTTAGAGCTTTCATAAGAGCCAGCTTTTTTGTGGTCTGAAGTTGAGCCTAATGCTGTTATTGCAGGGATCAATTCAACTTGGAAGCCAAGGCAGATCGTTGGAGGGAAGATCGATCGGCAGTTGAGACAATGGTGAAGATGCAGTAGTCTGCAGAGGGAGGAGAATGAGGAAGTTTTGCAAGCCTTGTTTAAGATTCATTCATTGATTATTAAGTCACTGGAGGAGAGATACTTAATTAATTCATGCTCCCACAATTTCTTCATGACAAGACCGAGACTAGAGTGGGGGCTCAAAGGGGAATTGCAACTAATGAACATATTTGCAAATTTGCTGTAAACGCTTTCGATTGCATAAATATTTACTTCTTTTATTACTGAAGTCATATTTGCAAGTGGAAAGCTCCGGAACTTCCTGAACAAACTTCACCAGAGCGTAGAAACTTATCATTTAGAAACTCAGACGGTATTGCAGAGACAGGCTAAAATTACTGAAGAACGAAAAACGCTTCGGTTATTCAATCGGTAAAGACTTGCACCATACAAGCAAAACAGAACACAAAGAATAGCTAATTAGACAACTCATACAAGTACTGTGCCAACAATGGCTCGAGAAGAATAGTGTGAAACAGGGCATGGCAACAGAGATCAACAAAATAACTCCCAAAGTTATTCATGCTAGAGACCTCACTGCTGCTGTTCCTGTGTGAACTCGTCTGGTTTTGCTTCCCCTCCGGTTGTTCCTTGTGATGCTGCCATGCCCATAACCTCGCCAGGAGGTGGGTCATCCTTGCAAAAAAGTTAGACAAATCGAAAACCAATTCGACATCCAATTGTGTCCTACAAAATCAATGAACACAGCGCTTTAAGAAAATACTAAAATTTCAAGAATCCAATTGAGTGGTCAAATGATATCGGATTCAAGTGATTTTTTGTAGAGATGATCTTTGAATGACTATCTAAAAAATAGATGGTTTGGATTAGTGGAATATAATGTAGAGTGGGGCCCCACAAGGGTGTCCCTCAATGAAAGCTCCCTATTCTTTTTATTATTGCATTAATTTGTTCCTTGAAAAACAAAAGGACACCAACAAACAACCCTTGAAAAACAAAAAGGACATTGACAACTGTGGGAACCGAATTAAATCACCCTAGGTCAAATAATTCCTTCCATTTGGGGATTATTTGACCTAATTGGGAGTTACTCAATTTAATTGGGAGTTACCCAATTAAATTGGCAATTACCTAATTAAAATGGGGATTGATTTGATTCCTACCCTAATTAGGGATTTGATTTAAATCAGATAAATCAAATCCCTAATTAATCAAATCTCACCTAATCGGGGAGGAATAATTCCTTTCCATTTGCAAGCCTTGTTTAAGATTCATTCATTGATTATTAAGTCACTGGAGGAGAGATACTTAATTAATTCATGCTCCCACAATTTCTTCATGACAAGACCGAGACTAGAGTGGGGGCTCAAAGGGGAATTGCAACTAATGAACATATTTGCAAATTTGCTGTAAACGCTTTCGATTGCATAAATATTTACTTCTTTTATTACTGAAGTCATATTTGCAAGTGGAAAGCTCAGGAACTTCCTGAACAAACTTCACCAGAGCGTAGAACCTTATCATTTAGAAACTCAGACGGTATTGCAGAGACAGGCTAAAATTACTGAAGAACGAAAAACGCTTCGGTTATTCAATCGGTAAAGACTTGCACCATACAAGCAAAACAGAACACAAAGAATAGCTAATTAGACAACTCATACAAGTACTGTGCCAACAATGGCTCGAGAAGAATAGTGTGAAACAGGGCATGGCAACAGAGATCAACAAAATAACTCCCAAAGTTATTCATGCTAGAGACCTCACTGCTGCTGTTCCTGTGTGAACTCGTCTGGTTTTGCTTCCCCTCCGGCTGTTCCTTGTGATGCTGCCATGCCCATAACCTCGCCAGGAGGTGGGTGGTCAAATTTGCAGGTTGCACCATACTTGCATGTGCCAGTTTTCAGGTAATACACACAGATAGCAACACCCTGTAAAAAGTTCCAACCTTATTAATACTCTTACATGCCAGTTTTAAGGTAATACATAACGCCTAGATAGACTAAAGTTTTCAATGGAAAAGATAGGATATGGGTTAAATGCATCAGAAAATTCAATCACTTGTCAATGGAAAAAAGGATAGTTATATGTTTTACCATTGCTATTTTTTCAATCCCTATTGCTCCAACAGTATAATCCCAACAAAGAATAACTCCATCATTCTATAGAGAAGGATTCATACCTCTCTCCTAGGTAGTCCAGCAAGAGTTAGCTTAACATTTTGTTGTTGAACTGGTTTTGTTGTTGACAGGGCCACTGCTGACCTATCAATTGGGTGATGGTATTTGCATTGTTCGCCAAACCTACATTCCCCCGTCTTCATATAGTACTACAACACGAAAAAATCACAACGCATAAACATGAGAGCTGTGGTCAAGGTTCCAATGATTCAGAAAAATGAGAAGGTATAATATTCCAGTAACAGTTCCTGGAAGAATTAATATTATGAGAATTAGAAGGTACTACATACTTTTTAAGATATTAACACTCAAATTCAATATTTTTCTCTTAGGATCTATCCAAAGGCGTCTCAAAAACCATATGCATTTAAAATCACATTCATTTAAATAATGAAGAGGATGAAGAAGAATGCTAACATCGCATTCAATCTGTCCAAAGCGTTGAGGATACACAGTTTGGCCCCCTCCCACCTGCAACATGCAAAAAAATAACATGAGTCAAGTTTTAAGTAAACAATACCAAGATGAAGTTTTACAACTACGTATCATGGCCCACCCAGTGCGTCGGCATGTGTTTTTGTGTGTGTGGGCGTGCATGAGAGAGAGAGAGAGAGTTGAATTAGCTAACAGTTCAACATGGTAGAAAAGAAAAAGAGTAAGACAAAAGATAAGATACTATTTACCGTTGGCTGAGCCAAAGTTTGATAAATGGAGGCAGCTGGATTAATAACTCCTATGTTCAGACCAGCTGCCGGAGGGGCTACAATGGGATGGCTGATTGCACCAACTGGTGGATTGATTGCTGCACAAAAATCTAAGCAATGAAATTTGAAAAACTATTTGATAAATGACACTGAACACTGGAATCTTGAACATCAGAATCTTAAATATACCATATCTATCAGGATGATTGTAGCGGCAAGTGGCCCCATACTTGCAACTGATTTAGAAAACAAAAGCCATTTAAGAATTCTCAGTCATCTTTTACTTTTATCACAGTATAAATCAACAAAACTATACATATGCTGACCTTCCAGTTTTCAGGTAGAATGGACAATCGGGTTCACCCTGTTAGAAGCAAAAGATACATGATCATCAGAACTTTACGACATCAAAAAGCTGTTAAATCAAAAGAAGAAAGAATTAACTAAAAATCTGGACGTAATGCAAATAGAATAATAAAATGCTCATGTGTTGCTTCATCCTTACCGGTCTTACAGGAAGCTCCTTGGAGTTATATAATAGTGCAGGGCTGAATGAAACAGGAAGCTTCACACCAAATCCAGTTCCCTCCGGCTGAATAGTTGTCCCAGTTTCTCCAATTTTATTCTCTTGCTCGGCTGATGGTATCTGGATATCTTTTGGGTGATGAAATTTGCAGGTTGCACCAAACTTACATTGCCCCGTTTTCAAGTAGAACTGTTTAAAAATTATGAAATGGAATATAAGCAAATCGACATCATAGATAGATAGATAATGCACACCAAAAAAGTAATGGAAATATATCTTACAGCACATGGGGGCTCAGAAGGCCTCTCAGGTAAGGCAAAAACATCAGCATTTTCTGAAGCAACCTGAAACCAGAGTAGAACATCATATCATAATAAAATAGGGAATAGGTCCAGATGACAGTTAACTCTTGGAAAATCTGCATATCATTTGCACTTACAACAGCAGCCAGTTTTTCCTTCGGATGATTGAACTTGCACCTCATACCAAATTTGCATCTTTGAGTCTTTATAAAGTACTGCAACATTAAAGAGGAAAAAGAATCCATGTCCAGTTAAAGTGTTTAAAAGGCTGGGCCCACAGTCCAATGTCCATGCCCGCTTGGGCCCACAGTCCAATGTCCACGCCCGCTTGGGCCCACAAGGAAGTAACCAATCCAGGCTGGGCTCACAAAGAGCTCGAGTTCGTGAACAATCGCGTGACGAGCGCAACAATCGACGCTCACCAGCCCGCTCGAGGACCAACACACGGCAACAAGCCGTGGAGGACTCCTCACAAGCTCAATCTCCTAATCTGCCCCACGGGCAGAACAACCAAGAGGATCGACCCTTGGGAACCGAGGAGGAAGTTGACCAGCGGCGCTCGAGACACCGAAGACATCGACTCGAACCACCAGCCCTGCGGGCAGAAGATGTTGAGAAGTTGGTGAATGACCGACTCCAAAGTCTCCAACTTAAAGGAAGCACGGATGAGGCCCTGCACAAGGAAATTGCTCAAGTTGACTGCTCACCCTTTACGGACGAGGTGGAACGAGCTGCACCGCCGAAACGGTTCACAACGCCATCCATCACTCCATTTAAGGGAGACTCCGACCCTGAGAGCCATTTGAGGCACTTTAAGAGTGCCATGATCCTGTACAAGGCAGACGACGCCCTGAT